AGGGTGCCCCATTTTAATTGACCACTTCAAATATCTCTTGAACAATTCATTTTAGGGAAAAACACCTTAGACAAAAATTTTGTGTCTTCGAGAGCAACATAAGATGGTATTATTGATCTAACCTTGGATGGCGTTGTCAAGGTTAGGGTAAAGTCACTTCAAATTTTTTTTTATATAATCTCCATTTTTTCATTACATATTCTTGTAGCTTACCTTAAGAACTTTTCATAACACTATAATAAAATATCTTTTCATTAAATATTTTTCAAGTTATAAGGCTTAAAAGTTACAGTATCTACCACTGGTGTTAGAATAGTTAATCTTCTTAGTAAAAATTCTAATATAGGAATTTAAATTTGTAAAAAAAATAAGTCAAATGTAATCCAGTTTCTATGATAGTAAAAACTTGTTTTAAAGCTTTCAAGTATTTAAGATTTTTTTCAGATTTTTTTACAGTTCAGAACAATATAAAAATCTGCCTTAAAGTTCGATAAATAGGTTGTCGACAAAGAGTAAAAATTTCCGATAGCAGGTTAAACCAAAAATTAGAAAATCTTTTTAAATAAATTTTTTTATAAAAGAGATTTTACTTTTCTATTCATATCTTAGAGCAACACAAATGATAATATATCTTTACAAATGATAGTTGAAAATCACTTTATTACACATTATTAAGTTTTTCGTTATAAAATAATATAAAATAAAACCATAATAAAATAAATACATTAATAAGATACACTATTGAAAAAAATGTGAAATTTAAGTATTAATTAAGTGAGTACTTTTAAGACTCGATTGCACCAATATTATTTTGACTTTAAAAATTTATCTTTCTTTTTTTAAAGCCAATAGAGAGATAGAGAGAGTTTTGAGCCTCTCTTAAAATTAAAGTAAAATAATAAGTTACACAAATTAAATTCAATTTCATGACATTAAATTAAATTTAATGTACATGTAACTGTAAAGTATATTTATGTACATGTACATAAAATTTAATTTTTCATAAAATTTTTTTTAATTTGGTGCATTTTCCATTAAATTTTATATAGATTTGCATGAAATTTAATGTATGTGAACGTTAAATTTAAGTTACTTATAAATTGTCATTTTCATTGACAACATTAAATATTTTTAATATACCTGCTTAAAATTTACTTCCATTACATGTAACAGTAAATTTCTTTTTTTTTTTAAGTGTACACAGGCTGTATTCTGTTGTATGTATTCATTGCAAGTACTAACAATCTGTAATATATGTAACATGAACTATACATTGTTAAAAATGTCATAAAATTTAATGTACTTTTAAGTTACATAAATTAAATTCAATTTTATGACACTAAATTAAATTTAATGTATCTGCAACTGAAAAGTATATTTGTGTATATGTACATGAAATTTAGTATACTTTTCATAAAATTTTACAAAGTACAGTACATTTTTTATTAAATTTTATGTAGATTGCATGAAATTTTGATATAAATAAACGTTAAAATTAAGTTATTTCTAACTTTTATTGACAATATTAAATATTTTTAATATACCTGCTTGAAATTTATATCCATTACACGTAACGAAAGCAAATTTCTTTTTTTTAACAGTGTAGATTTTTAATATTCACAGTGAATAACGGAATGCACTTACGGTCGACATAAACATTTTCTATCCTCTTAGCATTCAATAAATAACATAGATAAAATAATACTTTTATTAACTGAAAGCCTGTTCTTTTTAGCCCAACTTCTTTGTATAGTTTATTTTTTCTCTTTTCTTCCCCCTCTCTTTGAAGGAAAAAATTCAGCTAAAAAGAACAAACCTTGTATCTGCTAAATAAAAAGCAACTTTATATAGAAAGTTATATGTAATACTTTTCATCAGTGCTTTGGAATATAAGAAATCAATACTTCATAAATTATAAAGCACAAAACTAGTTAGACAAATGTAAACAAATAGAAATAATTTGATGTAATGAACATACCATAAGTATTTAACAAATCGAATTACTATTTTCTATTTATTCATTTGCTGGATTTTATTTCATACACAACAAAATAATGAATCATTCCTCTTCTAGTATTTCTCATGTAATGATGTACTATGTACTGTAATAGTAAATATAAAGCTAAAAGTTGCAATATTGCTAGAATGTTCCCTCCCCCCTTCTTTCTTTCTCTCTCTCTCTCTCTCTCTCTCTCATCATAAATATATATTACATTTCTTTCAAGATGCAATATGCGCAATATTATGCGTGCAAAGACACGTTATCAAAGTTATAAACAAAAAAGAAGATTAATACAAAAGTAACGTTTTCTAATGGATTCAGTTTCTGCGCTTCAAAATATATAAGATATATAAAGTAAAACATAGAAATACTTAACACATTTAACATACTTAATATATTTAATATATATACATAAATTCTATAAAAATCGTTAGGCTTCTTCTTCGTTTAACGTGTTTTAGTGATAAAAATACGTAATACATATTAGATTCGCTATGATTATAACCTGGTTAAACGAGAATTATCATATGCGCGGGGAGAAGGAAGAGGGAAATATTTTTGCGTATTATCCGATCGAAACGGATAATTGCTCCATTACACATACCTGAAACTTTGACTACCTACGTAGATAAAGTTTATGTAAATTCGTGCTCGAAGCACGAAGATATCTTTCACAATTATCTGCCAATTTCACACAAATGCATCTAAACGTAATTAAGACAGAAACTGCATGAAACCGAACATGTATGAATATTACGAATAAGATTACAAAGCTTACAGTGTTACCAATATCGTAATTAAAAATAAACAAGGTTCTGGGTTTCTATTCTTGAAAAGTATCGCATACGAAAAACTAGGGAAATACTAGGCTGCGTTCCATTACACGCATGATGCGCATGCTACATTATATATCCTTGTTATTCACCAAATGTTAAACAAAGATAAATGATGCATTATGCGCATCATGCGTGAAACGGAACATAGAACCTATAGTATGCGTTATATAGGGCGAATTTAAGGCCATGTTCCAAAACTACCTCTCTGAGGAAAATTTTACTCAAAATATATAGTACACGTGATGTATACTATACCATATACAGTAAAATATTCCTCGGAGAGGAAGTTTTAGAACCCAAGATGGAAAAGCGGCTAGGCATGCTTACCGAGCGATTGAATATGATTGGTTGGATCTATAAATAACAACCAATTATGTTCGGCGAGCAGGCTAGCCGCTTTGTCAACTTGAACGCGTCTATAGAATACAGAATTTCCCTAGTTTTTTGTATACGAGATTTTTCAAGAATAGAGACCCTGGACCCTATTCTTAAAAAGTATCGCATACGAAAAACTGGGGAAATGTTTTAATATACGTTACAAAAACTATAGTATATCCCTAGTATGCTATAATGGCAGCATTTAGTAACCCTGCACTGCTTAAGGTGTCTTTTCATGCGCTGCGGCAGCAATAATGTCACGTGATGCCAATTTTTCATAATTACTTCAGGCCGCAGCACAGACTTTTGCATAACGCATAATGCACAGTACATAAGCGAATCAACTAATCAGAATCTTTCTTTTCCTTTCATTTCATAGAAAAGAAGAATTTCGATTGGTTGACTTATTGATTCCTTTACATTATGTATTATGCTTTATGCAAAAGTCTGTGCTACGGCCATTCCGTTGCACTTGCTGAGTATGAAAAGGAATAACGGTAACACCTTAAAGTTTAATTTTAAATATGTGTCTTTTATTTGCTCAGTTCAAAAATTAATATGGAAAACTTGAAAAGCTAAAAACTTGTGATTATATGGCAAATTGCACGTGAATGCCCACGTCTAATCAGGACGGGGAAGCATGTGACCTGGGTATCAATTATGAAACTTTATCCTTAAGATAGAAAGTGAAAAATAAAAAATTTCTCCATTAATTTCAATGGCAAAAGTTTACTTTTCATCTTAGCCATAAAATTTCATGATTAATATCCAGTTTTCTCCAATCTCATGCTTATGGAGCTTTGATACTCATGTCCAATCAGAGAAGACAGGTCACGTGATGAAATTTCCACTCTCTCTCTAGCTGTGTTCGGTAATGCAAATTTGAGGCGTCGGAGTGCTCTTATATTATAGCATATATCATGTGCACTGTAGAAAAAAAGCACTATATTTGCATTGCCGAATGCAGCTTCTATGAGGCTCTAGTCACAGTATACAGATATAGTAGGGACAAGATCCCATTTTCCATTCAACCGCGCATATTTGCTTACGCATTATTAGGGGCCATTTTTAGTGACACCATTCCCAATCAAAACAGAGAACCACAGTTTCTCCGTTACTGCAATCGCGCCATGACATATCGCTGCGCTTGTTTAGTGATGAGACACTATAATGGATATTTTCTAATTACAATATCCCTAGATACTTTCGTGCACATGGCGACACAAATTGCGTTCCAATTGTCCGTTATCATTAGGCCGGAATCAGATTACACATTAAAGATTGAAAGATTGAAGTTTAACCAATCAGAAAAAAAGAGCCAAAATTTCTTTGTCCTCATGGGTGAAATTCCAATTTTTAATCTTTAATCTCAATCTTCAATATATAGTCTAATTCTGGCCTCATAGGGAGAGAGTGACAAATTGCATCACGTGACCCATCTTCTCTGATTGGGCATAGACATCAAAGCTTTAGAGGCATAAAAGAGATTAGAGAAAACTAGTCACGTAATCCTCGTCCAGATTGGATGTGGGCATTCATGTAATGCAATTTGCTACTCTTTCTTTCTCTCTCTCTCTCTCTCTCTCTCTCTCTCTGTCTCTCTCATCATCATAAATATACGTTACATTTCTTTCAAGATGCAACAGACGGAGAAAATTACATTTAATTTAACTCTATCTAAAACGGATTTTAAGCACAACGTACATATTCTGTTCTAATTGAATCGTACACAATGCTACACTTTGTGCATTCTTGTGTACGTTTGTATTAAACAATTGGAAAGCACCCAATAGCTAATTGTATATTATGTACTAAAAATGAATTTCATTAAAATATTAAGTGAAAAGGGTAAAAAACTTGTGAAAATCGATCCTAGTACAGTAAAAATAATGCAAGGTGAGATATATAGAAAATTGTAAAGTTTGCTAATTTGTATCTATGATCAGATTAATCTAAAAATATACACCTTTTGAATTTTAATTATTCGTAAAGCCTCGATAGATTTCCGACTAATTATGACCCATTCTCTTTACTTACACTGTAAACAGTTCTAAGTTTCGTCCGATTTTCTATTGGAAGATACGAGCCAATACCGAGCAGCTATTAGGGTATATCCACACAAACTTGTATAGTCGCATAAAAGAATACATAAAGAAAATTATCCAATCGCATTTCTCCTATAAAGATGCATGTAAAATGTGTGTGAATATACCCTTAACCCGGGTCTACAATAGGTTTTTAAGCCTTAAGCCATAAAGAATGGAACGAATCACAATTAGTTATTCTCTTCGCATTCGACTGTAATCAATTTCTTATGACTTCAGATTTAAAACACCTATTGTAGAAGACTAATGCAGAAATTCGATAAATTTAGGTCATGTGACTAGCAAATGAGAAAGCAGTGGTTGCGCTAGCCATTGCGTAAATGCACTCTAAAAAGATGCCTTTTCATGCACAGCACGCTACGACAGCAAAAATGTTACATGATGCTAATTTCTCATAATTGCTTTCGCTGCATTTGCTACGCATGAAAAAGAATAATGGCAACAGCATATGTATTAAAGTTTAACCTCAAATATGTGTCTTTTATTTGCTCAGCTCGAAAATTAAAAGAAAATTATAGAAAATTTAAAAAGATAAAAACTTGTGATTATATGGCAACTGTTAATGCAGTTATAATTTGGATAATTACCATTTCAGATAATTCTTTAGAATTTAGAATATCCCCAGCATTTCAAATCTTAATAAAAATACTCATTGTATGTACTCATTATAAATGTATTCAATTTTCAATTTTGCAAATATTGCAGACTTTCTCGGCTTCAAATTCTTTACTGTTCGTTGTTCGTTCGGTTGAACTTCAATAAGATGTGATAAATTTTGCGTCGAAAGTTTTTTTATTTTTGTCTGCGATGACTTTTCACTGAGTTTTGATGATCTGATATTTATGCAATTTTGAATGCTTTAAAGTGTTTTCTGTTCAATATTTTACATTTATCTTATTTGTATAACATCGAAGCTATTAAACAATTCTTAAGAATGTCTGCAATAATATATTCAACACTACAAATATAATCACATTGTTATCAAATATATTTTAATATGGAAATATGTTTCAGCAAAATAATACATTACAATCTGATAGATCCGATATCGAATGTTCTCTTTCCGTTTATTAAATAACTATACCTGAAATAACTGTATCTGAAAATGTGATCAATGATACGTAATCCAAAACGAAATGAACTATATGTTCGCAGCCATATAATAAAATGTCTAATTAATTATATATAGAAATATATATGATTTCATTTCTTTTTTTGAAACAAGAAAATAGTTTTTGATATATTTTACCCAGACAGCCATCTACGTTCTGACAACATTAGAACAATATCGCAAACGTATGTTGAATACGTCGTCAAGATATTCGAGACGCGTCTCTCTGTGAGGTACAGAGTATTTCTTCAGATTCTACTATGTCCGCGATTTCTTATCCCGTAGACTTTCGCAGGGAGCTTCTAATGATATACTGTAGTTATTCTGAGATGTATGAGTATGTCTTCACTATATCTTCAGTACGTCTCTACATATCGAGAAAAAAAAATGGTTAAAAGTATGTAGAATTATACATCTATTACTACCAAGATTTGGAAATTTGATAGCAAAATTAGATAATTATGAAATCGTTTTAAATTAAATAATTGGTAATTGTGACCAAACAATCCCTTTTATGTAACAAAAAGCATACAGAGTTATATCTTAACAAAAAATTTTTTTGTTATTATTACTTTTGATTTTTCTAATTCAATTTATTATTTTCTAATTTGCATACCTATATTCTGTCTTATTATCTACAATTAAATTATTGAAAAATGCATTGCATCGGGAAGATTTGAACCTACGATCCCTAGAACGGTAGCCTAACATTGTACATTTATGCCGAGTTAATCGCACGCTTGTGATCGAGTCACTGCCAACGTTACTTACACGTCCTACTGTAACCATTTTTAATTTCATGCCTCTGCTGTCAGTTTAATGTTATTATATTAATATTTGAGGAGATTACATGGAAACAAAATAATATACGCTGGTATTTATTAACTTAGTTAGGAAATAGTAATGCGATTATCCTCAATCTTGAAAGGTCGTGGCGAGCATGTTTCGTCTCGCTGTGATCGAGTTTGCATGTTTTATTTTTGAGCATAAGTGTGACCGGCTTTGACTGTCACATAATTCTTATTCTTGCAGTTTTTTTTAAGGAAAATGTTAAATTATTATTTATGTAAATGTGGTCAAATATACTATTACTATAGTATTGCTAAACATTTAGTGCAAATAATTACTTTTACAATTATTTTCTTTTTAGTTTTTATAATACGTATAGTAAATTTGTAATTAGAAGTACAGTCAAATGTGCTATTAATATAGTCACACACACTATTTGAAAATGATTTTTCCATTTTTGAATTTATATTTTTTAGTTATTGTTACCACGTGTATATACAATAGTAAACGAACATTG